GATTGGGACTCTTCTACAATGCTGGTGGGACTGTAAAGTGGTACAACCACTGTGCAAAGCAGTATGGCGATTCCTTAAAAAGTTGGAAATAGAAATTCCATTTGACCCAGCTGTTCCATTACTAGGTATATAGCCTAAAGAAGTGAGAGCCATGATAAGAACAGACATATGCACACCCATGTTCATCCCAGCACTATTTACAATAGCCAAATGATGGAAACAACCTCAGTGTCATCAACTGAGGAATGGATAACTAAACTATGGTACATACACACACTGGAATACTACACAACCCTAAAGAATAACCTAGAATCTGCAAAACACCACATAATGTGGATGAACTTGGAGGACATTATACTGAGTGAAATAAGCCAATCACAGAAGGACAAATATTGTATTAGTCTGTTATTGTAAAAGTCAAGGAAAGGTTTATCTATAGAAGGAAATTTTCTTTTTTGGTTACCATGGGTGGGAGGGGAGAGGAAGAAAGGGGAGGGAACACTGTAGATAGGTAGAGATAAGTATTGATTTGGGTGAAAAGAAGGGCAAGGTACCAAATGTGAGTGATCAGCATGGTAGCATTGAGGAAGAGGAAGACAGAGAGAGGTACATGGGAGGTACAGACAGCAAAGATGAACCTTTTTGCACATACAGTACTGTGTTGTCAGTAAAGGCAAACATGGGTATATGGGTGGATAGATGGGTGGGCAGGCTGAACTATTAGGTATGTCTGTGCAGTGGGGAGTATACTCAAGACCATGTATAGGGTTGGCAGGCAATGGTCCTATAAGTGTATATGTATGAACTGAATTCCCAGGTGTATAGTAGAGCGGACAGGGACAAGGTTGTAGTCACTTCTTAGTCACAGCCAGCTACCCAGAGGGAGTGAGTAGTTGAACTGGTGGGCTGAGGACCATAGTCACAGGAGACATCAAGCTCAATTGGCATAACATAGTACACAAAACATTGTTCTACCTTCTACTTTGGTGAGTAGCGACTGGGATCTTAAAAGCTAGCAAGCAGCCATCTAGATGCAATGATGAGTCTCTCCTCATCCAGAGCAGAAGAATGAAGAAAACCAAAGATTCATGGAAACAGTTAGTCCTAGTGACTGATACGCCATGTGATCCTCAGCCTATACGACTGTGAGACCAGAAGAACTAGATGGTGCCCAACTACCACTGTCAACCACTTGGAGGGGGATCTATGTAGGAGATCCTGGATAGAGAGGGAGAACAATGTGGAACAAAACTCAAAATCATTTGGGGGGAAAAAAAAAGGGAGGGACCAGTTTTGCTGGTCTGATAGAGCCTGATGGAACCACTGAGACTATGGCCCCTAGCTGCCCTTCAGGTCTGGAATTGAACCCACACCTGTGGCTTCCACACAAACAAAACACAAGCATATGCGTTGAAAATTTACCTGAGGTAGATACACTCCTTGGAGAGAACAATCATGGGAGAAAGAAGGGCTGCTTATGCACAGGGAGACAGCTCAGGGGGCAGGAGTGCAAGGAGGGATGGACACAGGAAAGAGGTAACTATTGGGAGGAAGTGAGAGGTAAATTGTGGTCAGTGTCACGAGACAAAGTGTATGTATGTAAATTGCTGCATAGAATGTGAATTTGCTCTGTAAATTTTCACTCAGATCACAAAAAAAAACTTGTAGTCTAATAAATATGCCACCACATGTTTTATTTTAATATTTGGCATGAAGATATAAAATGAAAATATAAAATGTTGATTTTGTATAAGAAGTATTTCAAAGAATAATAAAGTTGAACATTTAGAAAATTATATAAAATTTAAGTTAAAAAAGAACTAGGTATTTGGAATATACCAAATATTAAAAAGTTTCACAGACCTATTTTTAGCCTATAGAAAATTTCAGAAAGTTTCACAAAGTACTTCTAGTTACCTATTGAGAGGCTAGAGGGAAACTTTGTTTCATATTCATATTACGTCTTAATACTTTTGGAACTTTTTTTTCATCTTCATAAGAAAATGGTCATTTTTCTTTAAAAAAAAAAACGAGAAAACTCCATGTGTTGGGCTTTTTCATTTTAGATATAACAATAATCTGTGATAACTAAATGTCTTTAATTAAATATAGTTAACATTTAACTTTTTGGGGCAAAAGCTTACTGTATTGAGATTTTGAAATTGCTACAACTTCTCTTTTCCTCTTTCCTTTCCTTCTCATTCTTAACTGACCTCTGTGAGCAGCCTACCTTCTGTAGTTTCATTAGCATTCATAGTTTTTCTGAGACCCATGCCTCAACGCTCCTCCCCTTATTTTTCTTTTGAAATGACAGGAACGTTTACTCCCAGAATGTGGTAAGAACAAGGAATCAAACTGGTATTCCTCTTCCTCTCTCTCTTTTAATCCTACTTTCTTCCACCACCTTCTTCTCAACCAATACCAGCAAATCCTTGGGCAAATTCTTAGTTGCCAACCCTGGTTATGGGAGCTCTGGTGGCATAGTGCCTAAGGCATGTGACTGCTAACCAGAAGGCTGGTGGTTCAAACCCACCAGCCACTCCTCGAAAGGAAGGTTGGGCAATCTACTTCCGTAGTGATACTGCCTCAGAACCCCAGGTAGGTGTCGCTATGAGTGGGATCCGACTCCATAGCAGTGGGTTTGGGTTTTTTTGAACCCTTGTTATTTATGCCCTTTCACTTTAACCAATTAATTTGTTTTTATCATCATTTCCACTGAATTGGGTTTTGGCCAACTTACTATTTAGCATTTGGGGCAGTCAGCCTTGATTAAGTTTAGTTTGGCCCTTGAGAAAAATTGGCCTATTTTATTGATACCAAAGATGATAAACATCATGCTTTCTCCATGACTGCCTAAACTTTTTCTGGCTAATTGTTACAGCTTACAACTAACCTAGCTATAGTCACTTTATAGATACCATTCCCATTAACACTCACTTAGTAAGATTTGACTTTGTTGTTAAACAATTTTATGTTGTCACATTATGCTGTGAACTTTATCCATCCATTGACTATCAGTTAATGGAAACAAAGAGGGCTTAAGAGCACGATTTAATAAGAATAGAATTACTGATCAAAATAGAGATTCCACTGTTAGGTGGTGTTGAGTCAGTTTGACTCATCGAGATCCTATGTACAATAAAATGAAACACTGCCTAGTCTTTTGCCATCCTCACAATCGTAGGTATGTTTGAACCCAAGAGATTCTATGAATATTTGAAAAATGGTCAAGTGATAATGTGGAATCAAGAAAGAAGGCTTTTGATCCTTGATAGCTTGTATAATTTATAGCAGTGTTATGTTTTTGTTATGTGCCGTCGAGTCGGACCCAACTCACAGCGACCCCTCCTTGGGTTTCCGAGGCAGTATCACTATGGAAGTAGATTGCCCCATCTTCCTTCAGAGGAGTGGCTGGTGGGTTTGAACCGCCAGCCTTCTGGTTAGCAATCATGTGCCTCAGCCACTATGCTACCAGAGCTCCCAGCAGTATTATATTACTCCATTAAAATATTTAAATGTAAAATATATAACCAGAAATTCCCCCAGAAGAAAGCTAATCTCAGGATATTATTATTTTTCATGTTTTTTGAGCACTTTTCCACATGCAGACTTTTTTATATGTAATGTATATAAGTTGTCATAACCTAAATACTCCTTTATGAGGACAGTGATAGGTAGTTCAGTGGTAGAATTCTCCCTACCACACACTCTAAGACCCAAGTTCATTTCTCAGCCTGTGAACCTCAAGTGCAGACATCGTCATTCTGTCAGTAGAGTGGCTTTGATGCTGAACAGGTTTCGGTGGAGCTTCCAGACTGAGATGGACTAGGAAGAAAGGTCTGGTGATCTACTGCAAACCAGCCACTTAAAACCCTATGGATCACAGTGGTCCTTGTTCCAGTGTGCACAGGGTCGCTGTAAGTTGAGAGTCAATTTGACAGCAGCTGGTAACAACAGATACCCCGTTATATTCTCATTTCAGTGGTACACCTATTCATCTTGTTTTTATTCACAAAAATCTTGTATTGTTTCAAGTTGCTAAATTATGACCATACCTGACATACATTCCTCAGTTGGATACTTATCTTTCCATTTCCTTCTGTAATATAGATTAATATTTTAATTGTGGGTTTTTAGTGCCCAGTGCTCATATGAGGTACACCAAGCTGCCCTTTAATATTCTGGTGCTGGGACTCCCCTGGTTTACGGGTTTATCAAACGACCACCCATTCTGCTTTCTAATGTCAAATTTGAATAACCTGATGATGACAGTTGCTAGAATGAGTAAATGCCAGCTTGAGTTTCATTTTAATTTAATTTGCTTTTCAAAGGGATAAATTAAATTTACCTTGCTATACATACAGAGCTTAATTAAAGGTAGAAAGAAGATAGGAAATTTTATGAGGAAAAGTAATTCCATTATGGAAAGAAAAGCTAAAATGCGTAAACATAATTGTGTGTAATATGTTATAAAGGTGTTTCCAGTGCTTTTCTAAATAGCTCTGGAGGAATTGAAAAGTGGGGAAGATAAGAAAATTAAAACTTTCTGCCTGTTTCATTCTCCCCTTTGTCCTCCCTTCCTCATTCTCTTCTCTTTTCTCCCACATCCCTCCCCTTGTCTGCTTCTCCCTGCAAAATAAAATCACCTCTTTCTTGCATGTTTATGCCATCTTCTTTTTCTTCTGAAGTAATTCTTAGGATATCTTTTATTCTAAGCAACTAGTTGCTTGTATAAACCTAGAAGTTTTCCAGCTCTTTGAAACTACATTTCTAAATTGTTACATCTTTTTAATTATGAGTTGCTTTGCTTCAAAAAATTTTCTCTTTCAAAGCTTGTTTTTTTTTTTTAAGTTTATATTTTAAGCCTTTAACTAAATCTCTATTGAAATAGTTCACAGGCATACATTACAGTTTTGACTTTAAGATGATATTGTGTACTTCAACAAAAATATATTTTTTTTCTCCCCTATTTCCCCCCATCCCTTTTTTTCTTTAAATAGGAATCAGCAGGAGGAGACCTTCAGTCTCCTTTAACACCAGAAAGTATCAACGGAACAGATGATGAAAGAGCACCTGACGTGACTCAGAACTCAGAGCCAAGGCCTGAACCAACTCAGAATGCATTGCCATTTTCACATAGGTACAGATTCAATTCCACCATCATGATTATGTAAACTGTGTAAACATGGAAACTTACTTAGTTTCAGATAAATCTTGCAGGTTAACAACCTTTAGTGAAAAATCCAGATCAAATTTTTTTTTTTGGTACTGTTTCTGTTAATCTCGAAAAAGAAATACAGAAAAATTTCATTAATTTAGAGTTGCCTGGATGAACTGAAGTGAACATTTCTTTATATGTAGAGAAAAGGAACACTGAGCTGATTTTCAGTATAAACCTTGTTTTGGTCAAACAAGGAACTTTTTTAAAATAGACTCTCATGTGGTTTCCATTTTCATGTATGTTCCTGAAAGCTATAAGTTTATTATGTTTTTTTAAAATTAGACTTCCCATTCTCAAATTAAGCTTTACCATAATATTAGAGATGATCTTACCACATGATTTCTCTGAAGAACATAGGTTATTAGGTAACTTGTAGCACAAGCTTGGATTTATTTTGGGGGATCAAGTGACAGGAGATAAATCTTCACAGGCTTCTGAGTTTTAAAAGAATTTGATATTTAAAAAAGGTAGAATTTATCCTAAATGTGTTCTAAACCAAAGATATTAGTTATTAATATTTTTAAGTATAAAAGGGTTATGAATAAGTAGTATTACAAATGTAAAACATACCTATCATTCATCTGTCTTAAAGTCTTTTTTTTTTTTTTTTCTATTTTTAATCTTTTTTTTGGGGGAGGAAGTTTTTACTAGGTAGCATTAGTTAAAATTAAGAAAGAAATCTTCATTTGTTATGCATCTTGTTGGGGGAACCAGTTTCAAAAATGCTTAAACATCTTAAGATAGTCTCTTTTTAATGAGCATTTTTGTTTGGATGGAATTTATTGAATATTTGGGGCATAGGATTAAGTTTATTAGACCACATAAAGAATGCAATGGAGGCTTCAGAGACCTCCTGGTCACGCTTAGGAAGAAGGATGAATAAATCAAGAAGGATTTTTTTTTTTTAAGTGAATAGGAGAAAATTATTTAACTGTGAAACTATTCTGTTTTGTTGTTAAAAATGCTAATAGTTTTCCATGAAACAGTAGATAAATTGTGGAGTTGTGGATTTCATGCTTTAACTGTTAAGTATAAGCATGTTATCTGTTTATGCTATAAAGATGACAGAACACATGAAAATTTTTCATTCCACTGATCTGAAGACTATCTTCATATTGATTTGTTCAACTTGAGGTCTTTTCAGTATGCAATTATAATTAAAAAGCAGTCTTAAAGAGCAGTTTTAAAAAAGGTTCATTTGTGAGTTAAGGGAAGTTTTCCTTCATATGGGATCTCCAGTGGTGCTGCGGTTAAAGTATTGGTCGGTCTACTGACCAAAAGGTCGGTGGTTTGAATTCACCTGCCTCACCATGGAGAAAGATGAGGCAGTCTGCTTCCATGAAGATTTACAGCCTTGGGCAGTTCAACTCTGTCCTATAGGGTCGCTGTGAGTCAGAATCAACTTGATTGCAGTGGGGTTTTTTTTGTTGTTGTTGCCCTTCCTATATTAACATGTCTATTTAAATGATCCATTTGTGTTAATAACTGTAGCATTCAGAAATAACTTTTGTTTTTGAAATTTTAAAAGCTATTTCTAGTTTACTTCTTGTACCTTTAATTTTCTGAATGTTTTTTGTTGTTGAGTTACTACCTGGGATTGGTCTTTCTCTACTGATTTTCTCTGTTCTTGGGAGTCTAAAAAGAGCTATTTATTCTTACTTGAACATACTACTGGAATCTGTAGATGAACCTAGAGATACTTGACAGAGTTCTGAATGTAAAATTTAGCACTTCTGTCTTCCCCTTATAAGTTTTTAGTTATGTTAAAGGAATTACATAATCTCTTCATTTTTCTTATACTTAAAAATACTTAGCAATAAAGATTTAGAGGGCTGATTCTAAACTTGTTTTAATTTTATATTAATCAGTATTACTGGTCTGAAACTAAGATTTCCACCTAAGGTAGAAGATTATTTTACTTACATATGTTGTTGTTTGTTGTTAGGTCCTATCAAGTTGGTTCTGCCTCATAGTAACCCTATGTAAACAGAAAGAAACACCGCTTAGTCCTATGCCATCCTCACAATCATTGCTATGTTTGAGCCCATTAATTCTTGCAGCCACTTTGTCAACCTATCTCATTGAGGGTCTTATTTTTTACTGACTTTCTATTTTATCACTGCTTATGTTAATTTCCCAAACTAGCAGAGCTGGAAGGGTCCTCAGAGATGGTATATTCCAGGGTTTTCCAAACAGTGGGAAGTTTGAAGGGAACTTAGTAGGTTACTAGAGGTATTCTAAAAAATTAAATATAATAAAACCAGATAGAAAACATTAGAGTAAAACTCACATTAAGCATAGAAACTGTGTTTCTATGATACACATTTTCATTGTGTGCTGGATTACAGTGTAAAATGTCAGAGTTTGGAAGATGTGCCTTTGGCATATGAGGATACTAAATACCAAAGGTTAGGTGAGAAATCCTAGGTAACTTTAGGACTAAAGCTCAGCTCATTTGACCTAAGTTGGTGCTACTGGTGAGTTCATAGTGAATTTTAGTCAAATCCCCAACATAAGCACATTGTTGCATCAGGAAGTTGTTGGCTATTCTATCCTAGGAGACCCATGTAGATGTAGACCATATAGAGACAGAAAGAATATTAACATAAATTTTATTTAAATCTGAAACTTCCAAGTGCTTTAGCTGGATAATACCATTCTTTTTTTCTCAGGCACAGGAAGACAATTAAAATCCATGTTTTTAAGGCTTATTTAAGCTAGTTATATATATATATATGTCCTTCCTTAGTTCTTGTTTTAATAGAAAATAATAGCAAAAAAGTTTATTTGCCTATCTTTCTCTGTTCTGGTTGATCCCGTGGTATTCTTGCTGCTAAATAAGAATCTAAATAACCAGAATGTCCATGTGCTTTGAAAAGGGGGAAAAAGAATGAAAAAATAAAAATAGATACAGGGGTATAAGGAACGGTAATTGTTGTTGTTGTTATGTGCTGTCGAGTCAGCCCTGACTTATAGCGACCCCTCCTTGGGTTTCCGAGGCAGTATCACTACGGAAGTAGGATTGCCCAACCTTCCTTCCGAGGAGTGGCTGGTGGGTTTGAACCGCCAGCCTTCTGGTTAGCAGTCAAGTGCCTTAGCCACTATGCTACCAGAGAATGGTAATAGTCAAGTTAATTAAGAATTGACTGTAGGTTTAGCTACTTATTGTTGTTGTTGTTATGTGCACGACCCTTCCTTGGGTTTCCGGGGCAGTGTCACCACGGAAGTGGATTGCCCCATCTTCCTTCTGAGGAGTGGCTGGTGGGTTTGAACCACTGGCCTTCTGGTTAGCAGTCAAGTGCCTTAGGCACTAAGCTACCAGAGCTCCTATAGCTACTTATTAGTAAGCCAATTTTGTGCTGTCCATAAATTTTAGGTTTTTTACCTAAATCTTATGAATTAACTAATATACCAAGAAAGGAAGGCCCTGATAGTTTTAGTAATATACTTAACTATAGTTTTCCCTTTACTCTTTGTAAGTTTTTTTTTTAAAGCTACTACTTAGCTTTAGAGAGATTGGCAAGATTTTTTAATTTGCTTTTTGACATTTGATTATGTAAATTTTCTAATACGTATAAGAGAGGGTTCTGTCATGAACTCCCATGAATTTGTTACCCACCTTCAACAGTTATGAAAAAATGGCCAGTCTCATTTCATCTCTACCCCAACCAATCTTCCTCTATTGTTTCAAAGCAAATCCTAGATATGTCATTTCACCCATAATTTTTTTAAATCACCTTTCTACTTTTTAAAAACTTATATACTAAGGTAGTATAACTTTTTATATTCTACCTAATTTACTGGCATTATAGAGTTTTCTTGACTCATTCACTACTTTTGATTTTTAATTATATTGCTGAACTAAATTTTTAAAATACTAGGCTGCTCAAGTGCTATCGAACTGTTTATGTCCATGTTATGAACTATGCAAAAACATTCTCGTTGATTAATTTTTGTGAAGTTAATGCGTTTTTAGCATACTTAACTATTTTAATGTTTTTTAAAAGTTTAAGAATGCATAATGTAGCAAAACCACGATGATAAAATTTTTTACTTATTTCCTTGGAGAAATTATATTGTCTTATCTAAATTGCCACTCCTTTATGAAAAATAAATACTTTTAAACCTAAATGCTTATATCCTTTCAGTACTGAGCAAGTATTTGCTCTTTGGCTACTGAAGTCTTTAGGGCATCCTTTGAGTCCATAGTCTTAGATTAGCTGTATGCTAAATTAGAGTAGCTGTATGCTAATTGATTAGAATATGTAAGTGGTGAAGGTTTAGTCTCGCATGACAGGGAATTGCTGTTTGCTTCCTATCATTGGCTATATGGAATATTGGGATTTATTTGTTATTTCATACAAATAATAAGTACTAGAATTTTTTATTTTAAAGATTCAAAGCTACCTACAATTCTTAGTAAGTAGTTAATTTTGTGGTATTTCGATGCTGTGTTGGAATGTAATCTTGAAATGTAATCCTGAAAACAAAAACTTTCCTTTTTATTTTATTCATTGTAATTTTATGATTCTCAAATATGCAGTAATATATTCATAAATAAGGTGTTTTCATATTTCTGAGAGTTCAGAACAGACATATATACATTAGTAGTTTGTGAAGCTATTTTTGTACTGATCTGTTTTAGTAAGAGTTTGATTACTGGAAAATAGGTTCTTTTAAACACTGATTAGATTCTTCTTCTGCTTAGATAATGTATTCTCATGGTGCTGCTAGACTTTATGCATTTGGGGTTACTGCATGTGTCTTCTATCCTGCCACTTCGTGTGTTTCCAACAGATAGTAATTAAAGGATGTATGCAGAAACTTTACTCTCTAGTATATTAATTTTGCTTTAAATGAGTATAATTTTACCAAAACGTGTAAAGTCTGGGTGGGTCCATTTCATTTATCTTTAATAG